AACTGTAGCTCTCTGGTTGAGAAATTCGGACTGATAAACCAGAGAGCTACAGATCCAAGCATTGTAAAAACCTTCGATTTACGCCGCCGCTTTTTAGTCGCTCGCTTCGGGTATTATTTCTTGCATTTTATGCGTTCCACCGCTTCAAACATGGTATCCGATAATAAATTATGTATTTTACTCCCATTCCTGACACATTATTTACCTTTCAACGGTTCCAAACAGCCGTATGTGGTCTTGAAGTATCAGTTAAAAAAATTGCATACCGAGATCCATATTGGTGTAATGCTAAAATAACACGCCCAAACGATTTTATTTATCTCATATTTTTTCTACATCCATATTGTTTTCTTCATAAGTGAATATACATGATATTTCAACCTCCAAATATTTTATTCACATTTTCTCGGCACATGGATGTTCTTTAAGAAAAAATACCCGAAGCAAGGGACAAAAAAGCGGCGGCGCAAATTGAAGGGTTTTACAATGCTTGGATCTGTAGCTCTCTAGTTTATCAGTCCGAATTTTCTCAACCAGAGAGCTACAGTTCTGCAGCTAACGTTCTTCGAGGACAAGAATTAGTCACTCTTTGTTACTCGATACAGATATTTCACCTGCGATGGATTTCGATTGTATACATATATTCCTTAGAATTTGATCAATTTAGTGTATTACATTGCTTTTATTCGGTCTGTACCACCAGGTTTTGTCTGCGTTATTGCGCAGGAAAGTATACGTACTGCTTATGTTATTTGAGCTCAATATATTTAGAAATACATACCGAGTCAATAAATTTTAGATCTAAAGTTTTTAAACAGTAGAATATAAACATATCAGTATCTACACTCCCGTGGATTTGATTTTTATAATGTGTATACATAAATTGCACTTTTTATTATATCAACGGAGAAGTGATGTAAAATCAAGAAAAAAGATAAGAATATAGACATTACCAATTTTTACAATGAAAAGAAAAGGAAAAAAAATCAAATCAAATAATATTTTGAGATAACGAACTCAAAATATGTCGACAATATAATCATTCTTATAATATATGTCTATGGAAAGGTTCCTCCTATCTCTATATACTGTAATAAAATGAAAACGAATTATTACATGCATTTAACCTATGTCGAAAAGGTTTTTTTAAATACTGAAACCAATCCCGGCCCTATAGGTCCAAGCTCTATTCATAAAGAAGTCTTCCTTTATGTCAAAATAAATAAAAGGTATGTAATCTTAAGTATATCAAATTGATTTCACTTTGCATGATTTTGAACATGGGAATCCAGAGTAGCTTGAAAATTGATTTGAAATTTAAGACATTTTCTCGTTTTTTGGTCCAGAGATTGAACTGGAAATATACACACTAACTTCTCAGTTGATTTTTTAAAAGTTAATTTTTAAGCATCTCAGTCAACATGTAAGATTTATTGTTAGTCAATTTATTCATTAGTATATCATTCATTATCTTTCGTTCTAGATTAAAACCTTCTAAAGAAGAAAGTATCTCCAAAGTCCAAGAACTTGATTGTTCTCACGATGTGGCATTGGAAGTTAAATCCGTAAATGGAATACCTAAATAAATCATGAGGATGGCTTAGGACTAGGTTAATGATACGCAATAAAAGATTATGAATTTTTAACACATTTTCGTATATAATCATATCGTTTTATTGGTTTCTAAGTGTCATTTTTATTGTGTGTGACATGCGTATTTTATTTATGGTAATCGTGGCTTTCGTTGACTGACTTGTTAAGCCCTCACTTATAGGACCAAAAATCCAAATGATGAGTTCCAATTACTTGGACATGCCATAAAGTTCAGTTTTTAGATTCAAACCAGCCTTAAGCTTTCGTGGTGTCAATCTCATTGTCATTAATCAGAATGTGGGCAAAACTCCTACAATTATTCCTCAGAACTGGAACAAATTATCAGTTCGGTAGATAAATCGTATATAAAAACTGCATTAACACATAGATTTAATGTCAAATTGGAGCATACAATATATCTAAAGGATACTAGAAGTCAGATTTAATTGTTTTATGGCTTTCTTGAAGACATTTAATTATAAAACTAAAAATTATAAGTTGTAGAATAAGCCATTGTCACTTGCTTAGTTCCCAGCCTTGGTAATGAAACTGGAATTCATTGATACCCTCAGGAATAGTTTGTTTCACATAATTATGAAGAGAAAGAGTTTAGAATTATTTCTTTTGTAATAGATTCAGATTCCTACGAACGAGTACAAATAATATGATTTTCGATGTAATAAATTGCTTATTTTGTCAATGGAATAAAAAATACCAGTATTAAAATCTCAGAGATAACCAAATAAAATCTCAAAGATCTTGTTATTGTAACTTATTTGTTATATCCTTGAGAAGAACGTCAATATTTTAAAGATTCATGCCTTTCTGGCGAATCTTTAATATTCCAAAGTGTGACATTCACATAGGCATGTGATGCAAGGTGATGTAACCGTACGAGGTGTAGGAGAAATAATCAAATTTCAACAACTAAAATGCGTCAAACAAAAAGATACCAAATATGAGAAATAAACTAATACCAAACATTCTAAATCGTTGTTAATACTTCATAAAATAGCAGGGAAACTACCCTCTGGTGGGTGACTTTTTTCTCATTAACGGTTGAAGAGCTTACATGTTTTTCTCAGCTTTTAGAACAATTATACGTCAGCGCCTCAAAACAGGCGTATATTTTTTGTCACAATCAATGAGGAAAGCATGCACGTTTATTACACCAACTGCTTACAATATCTCGAGTTTACTTTTTTTCTTTTTAAGCAAAGCAACTTTGTCACATTTGATATTTATGACACTTATACATTTTATAGAATCTTTTATATTTTTTCTGAGTCTACTGAATTCAGAAGGAACAAAATAATTCAAGGATTTTATCTCCCCTACTTCAAGATAGAAGTTTATTTGTAATATTAGTTAGAAAGATTTTGCAACAATATGCAATTTTGTGATCTTGACTTTTGACCATTTCACCTCGGAATCAATCGGGATCATTTTTTGCTATAGACAATATTGAAGTGAATCTGGAAACAATTTTATACCGTACATGAATTTGTGATCATGATCTTTGACCTCGAAATAGGGATCTATCTTAAATTAGAAAAAGTCATCACTTCAAGTTTCAATTCTGTACCCCAAAGAGAACTAAATATATCAACTGGAAGCCATTTTATGCAACATATGAATTTGCGGTCCAATTCTTTGACTTTTTCACCTTAAAATCAATACAAGTTTTCACTATGTTATTGGGAGTTACTATATGAAAATTCTTTGCAAAAGAAAAAATACTTTTATAGAAACTAAAGTGTACTATTTCATATCTTAAAATATACATTGCAGAAAAAGAACTAGACATCATCTGAAAACAATCTATGCAATAAATAAACCCTTTGAATTTAAAATCAAAAGAAACCCTCTTTTTAAGTTATAGGGGGTTAGAACTTAAAATTTCATTTTAAAATATAAAGTGTGTTCAGAAATATTATTCGGAAATTAAAGTGTACCATTTCATGACATATATGACGTTGACTTTTGACCTCAAAAGTGATTGGGATCTTTATTAAATTAGAAAGACTCATCACTTTAAGTTTAATTCAAAAAGCCAATAGAGAACTAAACATCATATGAAAACAATCTATGCAATAAAAAAATCCTTTGACTTCAAAATCAAATTGAGCCCCTTTTTTAAGTTAAAGGGGGTTAGAACTTAAAATTTCATTTCAAAATATAAAGTATGTTCAGAAATATTATCCAGAAAATAAAGTGTACCATATCATAACATATATGACGTTAACCTTTGACCTCAAAAGTGACTGGGATCTTTATTAAATTGGAAAGACTCATCACTTTTAGGTTTAATTCAAATAGCCAATAGAGAACTAAACATCATATGGAAACTATCTATGCAATATATGAATTTTTTATCTTGACCTTTGACCCTTTGACTTTAAAATCAAAAGGGGCTTATTTTAAGTCATGAAGAGTTAGGACATGAAACATTTCATTTCAAAATATAAAGTATGTTTAGAAATATTATCCTGAAATTAAAGTGTACCATTTCATAAAATATACGAATTTGTGACCTTGATCTTTGACATACGTCCTCAAAATCAGTAGGGTCTTCTACAAGTCATAGAAACTTATGCCATAATTTTTCATTGCTAAAGCTTAAGAACTTTAAGAGATATCATCCGGAGATGAAGGTGTTTTAGACAGACATAATGACGGACAGACAGACAGCTAGACGGACGACGGACGAAACCAAATTAATATTCTCTGCTTTAAGAAAAAGCGGGGGGGGGGGGGGGGAATCCTCACTTTTATAGCGAAAGTAGCGAAAGAGAGAATCAAAAGAGCTAAATTGCAAAATTCATTAAATACAAGTGGAATATGAAAACAACTGAGTGCTAAAGTAATTCGTGAAATGATTATCAATATTTCATTTTTTATGAATGCTCTGAACTATGGATCGTTTACATTCAAAGATTGCTTCCGATATATTGGGTTTTGTGGTATAATTTCTATATTATTATATGGGCATATTACAACATTTCAGAATTGTTATATTAGGAGTTAGTTAATTACACTTTGTTATAAAGTTATTGAATAACACATTTTAGCTGTAAATGCTCACACATTTAAACAATCGATCCCAGTACCTGTCTAGTATTCAAGATCACCTGAAGGCGGCAGGAGAAGAAGGACCCGAGTCTTTGATGATGAAAGATGAATCGCTAAATAATGGTACTTAAAGACTGATAATAGGAGAACAAACGCTTTTAATTGAAAGCTACTATGCCACGACAGCGACAGGGGAGTGCGTAGCCGCCATAATCCAACGCCGACGTTGATTGGTCAGGCGCATTTTCCCGTGAAATATTGCGTATAAAGCGCTCAACACAAAAAGGTATTCAAAATCTGTATCATCAAAGTCTAGCTTTTTCTTCACTAAGATGGTTTTTACAGTTCAGAAAAACACAAGGTTATGATAACCAACATTAGGACAGTTACTTGATGTGTTGGATTGTTGGATAACTATTTATTTATAAGGTGAGTTTTTCTTTTAATGTACGTTTTAATCACTGTTTGCACATACTTCGAAAGAGAACTTTACCTTTATTAAGTCTCCAATCATAACGTTTTTGAGAATTTGTAGAATAAATTTCATCCAAAAACTAAAATATCATAGCCTAGTAAGCTTATCAATCCAAATTATATAATAACAACAAACCTATGTGCTGAAAATGATCAATGCATTAAATTCCTTATCGAAAAAGTTAAAAGAATCATAATTGCTTTTTTCTTGTTTTAGAAGTGTTCTTTAAGTCAATACAGAACTTTTCTTGCATGATGTAAATGTGATAATGGTTAGCACCGATGTTAATTATCAGAAAATATTGTCAGATAATAAAGTAAGTCTTGGTACTGCTTTTATTGTCATTATTTAATAGACTTTTGAGAATGATCACTCTTTGTTTTCTTCACATTTCATTGAGTATATAGTATTTCCTATAATATCATTATGACCAAAAAGTCATTATGAATTAAAATTAAATTTTCCGTCGATTCTTACGATGTCATTTTTAAAAAGAATTTCTTTAATGGTTTTGTAGTTAATTAAACTCTAAAAATTGTTCATGTTGATTTCGATTCCGTGGAAATGTTCTTGAAAGACAAATTATTGTTTGGATTTCAATATATAAATGTGTATCTTTTTAATTTTGGTACCAGTTTTAATCATTTATTTCTATGGAACGTTACTCATTTACTTTTAGTTATGGAGATTTTGTTTTAAACCTTACGCAATGTCACAAGTGTGCTTTATATTGCCAAAATTAATTATCAATAGTGAGATGGAGTTGATGACACTAAGTTGTGAACCATGCACCAAATTTAAATACGCAAAAATTACTTCATCTACCTTTTTTACGCTATGGATTTCCATAAATCTCTTCATATTAAACATCGAACTATCACTTATGAAGAGATTCTTACTCAGAAACATATGTAATAAATGGAGAGATATAACAGGAAATGTGTAGGTTCATTGTTCAATGTCATGAACTGCAGACGTTGTGATACAGACGATAATAAGGTTTAATAAAGATCTCAGAAGTTGTGATAAACATATATCTTCGATATCAAATATATTTACACGCCATTACAAAGAAAACACAATCAAAAGAAAGTTTATAACATCTCTTTGACATTTTATATTATATGAATCTATATTCATTATTTCATACATTTCGTCTGCGTATATGGAGCTAATACGATATATCGGTAAAGTATTGAAATTTTTAACAATAGAAGAAATGTTTACCACAGACTATATAACTCACGCTTATCGTTAACTATGGTCAATGACATCAATTTTCCTAACGAATTTGTCACATTCTGATATTTCATATCGTCTATAAAAATATGAATTTTTACAATATGTTGTTCAGACACATTCTTTAGATTACACAGACTTCAAGTTCGAAAATGAAATTCTTAACAAAAAAAAAAAAAAAAAAAAAAAAAAAAAAAAAAAAAAAATTGATTTTTTTTTTTTTTCCACATGTGTTCAAATGTACTTTGCCCCTTGTTGTAGTTCATGTTTCGTTTTTTTTTCATACATGGACATATCTACGACATATTACAGAAATCAGAATATCTGTGAGTATTATTATGAGTATCTACAGTATGAGTATCTACAGTATTCCTATACCAGAACAATATACTGATGTTTGAAAGCATGAGCAATCAGTTAATGATCATTATGACAAATTAATAACGAGAAGGCTTTCTTTAATACACAAGGCTTACTGGCAACCGTGGTGAAAAACCTTTTTCCAAAGGATTTTTATAGACAAAGAATAATTATCAGAACAAAAAAGTACTAAAACAATTGCTTTAGATATAAACATTTTTAATACCGCAATCAACAGAAGTGAATTTCAATTAAAGTACATACTGTATCCAAATCTTTATGGAAATTCTCATAAGGATACATTCCAGAGAGTCCATTCATTTAATGCTCTACCAAGCCTCTTTCTTTACTCCTCACAAAAATATTTACTGTGTGAGGGATTGTTTATTTGTTTGCTTGCTTTTTAACGTCCCTTTGAGAACTTTTCACTCATATTGAGACGCAACCACTTGCCGGTGGAGGGCTGCAAATTTAGAAATGTACTCGGTACTTGCGGCCTTTGAGCAGTGAGGGATCTTTTTCGTACCAGCACCTATTCCGATACGGGACCTCGATAAATAGGTCTCATCCAAAGGACCTGTCTCCACGTCACACAGTGGATTCGAATCCGCAACGTAAGAGTCAACTCTTCACACCGCGACTCTAGAGCAAACGCCCTTACCACTGCGTCACGCGGGCGACCTGTGTGAAGGTATGTTGTGCTAAAACATATTCAAGATGTGGTGTAAAGCATGTGTGGATTTTCAAAAACTCCAGAAAACTTTTTATCGAAAAATAATAGCATCAGACGTACGTCTTTTCAAATTTAATACAAGCATTTCTTACGATAAACCAAAGACTAAGCTTTTTGACATCATTTATAAGGAAACTGCTTCTTCAATAAAAATGAAACTCCGAAATTATCATATCTTAAGATTGATGATCCACAAAATTACTTTGTTCAAAATCATTCTGACTCTATACACAAGTCCTCTGAAGTTGATTTTAAAAAGACACTGGAGTTCCTTTTTTCATTAAATATTGTAGTCTTTCGCATTGCTCTCAAATGGACATTAACAAACAATGTTATTCATGGCAGTAAGTTTATATATGTGTTGCTTTAACTATCGGTGGAAATTTTCCACTGAATGAAATTTCAAACAGTATCTTTTGACCTTCATTCAATAGGTCCGAGAAAGATATTCTAAAAATATGTTTGAATTTCTACAGACACAAATTGTGCTGTAGTATTTATCGACCTATTTCTGCATTCTTAGGAAGCAAAATTTATTCAAAAATGTCTACAAAATAGAAAACTAATGTAGTTGCCTTAAATTCAACATTATCAGTGGTAGAGCATTTGCTCTAGCGTAGCGGAGTAAGGGGTTATTCCTTACGTCGCGGGTTCAAATCCCACTGTGGGATGTGGAGACCGGTCCTTCGGCTGAGACCGTATAAACCGAGGTCCCGTGTCGCAGTAGATGCTGGCAAGGAAAAGATCCCTCACTGCTCAATGGCCCTGAGTGCCGAGTATAGGTCAAAATTTGCAGCTCTCCTCCGGCAAGTGGTGGCATCTCCATATGAGTGAAAAATTCTCGAGAGAAACGTTATACAACAAACAAACAAACAAACAATATTCTTAATCCTATGTTGACTTGATATATCCTAGCAAATTCGAAATAAAAAAAAACACAACGGAGGCTGTCATATCTGTTTCATATTTGGATGTTTTGGCAAACTAATAATTAAAATATGAGACAAGCAGAATGAATAGTTTTTAATCATCAACCTCTTTTATTTATACAGTATCCACTATCACCTGCATATGGTGTTTTTGTCTCCAAACTGGATTCGGTACGCAAGAGCATGTTCGAAGTACATTCATTTTTTAAACCGAGGCAGACTACCGAAAATCACGTTGATGTTAAAGGGTTTTCAACAATTATGCTTAAAGTACGCATTCTGCAAATAATTAAGTCGTTATAATGACCTTAGCAAATAGAACCTATGGCTGATTTTATTTTGAGAGACATGTTTCATATTAATAATTAGGTCATTGTTTCCATTATTGATTACGGATTATGCCGTTGACCTTATCAAGACATAGAGCTCACAACAGGTGTGACTGTTGAAAGGGAATGCATACTCCTCTTAGGAACCTGATGGGTTTCCAGGGGTCCGTGTTTGCCCTGCACATGAGGGGAATAGCTTATAGGACTTGTGAGATTGACCGCTGTACGCCATCTCCACCCTCTCCATACCCATTTTGATATGTTCAATTTTGTGAATTCTGTACTTTGACAGTTAAGCTTATCTAAAAATATTTTCAGTAGCACATAAAAAGTTTTATAGAATCAAATGGCTAAATCTATTTAAAAAATAATCCAAAACAGCCAAACAACTTCACAAATGCATTTAAAGGAAGAGTCACATTGTTAAATAAGGCCACCAATGGCCCATAAGTGTTTTTTCAGCCAATATGCAAAAAAGGATCATGTTTCATAGAGGAATATTACGTTTAGCCTATAGTCATTGTCTTGTGAGTTTGTATTGAAAATTGAATTTTAAGGTGTCAAAAGATCAATCGAATTTTACTTTTCACTCCTTGTGTTAGATATCGAATGTATCCTTATCGCTCTTAGTCTCACCTGTGTTAATCCAAGGATATATTCTTCTAATAACTTGACAGTTGATCACATAATTCTCTCTTGGCGACTCTATCAGTAATTACTCTGTGTAATAAAGCATGATTAAACATAGAAAACTCAATATCGGAATTGTAAATTGTTCATATTGGTATTCTTCCGAAGGGGGTCTAATGCTGTTTATTGATAAGTAGCCTCTGTTTACTCGTATTCTTTTTCTACAATTGAATTGTTTCTGCTTACAAAAATAACATAATGATATTCAAATTGACCCTTTGTTTCCATGTAATTACTTTCTTAAATATGGACACTTTGTTTCATAAGTACCATTCAAAGGAATTTGTTTTAAAATAGATTTGGGGGGGGGGGTGATGGGTGATTTGCTTCAAGATACAGAAAATCTTACCCCCAAAAGCGTGTCAAACACTCATAATCATGAGGATAATTTTGATACAAGAATAAAGGAAATATAGTAATTTTGTCAAATGCCTATTACAAATACATCTAAATATCGTTGTTGATAAGACAGTGTTTTCATTAACGACTTTAACATGTTGATGCGATTGATTCTTGTTTCTAAAAGATGTAGCAAAACGTTCGCTCAAAATCATATATATAATAAGTCAGGACATTGGCAATTCAATAACTTCATAGTTGTTAACCATTTCAGTATATTTTGTATGCTTTCAGGTCATATAGCGATAGAAATGGATGTAATTGTAAGGTGGGGA